TGAACCCTCAACAGTCTGTAGAATCCCCTCACTGATTACACTGTAGGTGATAATCCACCTTAACCAAAATCAAAGTAGACTATCACTCACCCACACATATATATAACGTTCAAACGGATTACTAATATACTGTCACAAAAATATCAGAGCGCAAATGCGAAAAAAAAAGAAAGAAAAAAAGGAAGAAAAACAGGAAAAAATGAATTCAGTTTTTGACCTTCTTCCTTATAACTCCCCCTGTTCAAAACGAACCTCTTGCGTACAAGGCCGCCCACGTGGATGTAGGTTGAGCGGCGGCTGCCCCCACCCCCGTGTGAATCAGAGTGCGAAGGCGAAAAAAAGCAAAACAAGGAAAGGAAAAGAAGTAGGGAAGGAATGCCCCACCTATATATATATCAGGAAAGCCTAGTCGGTGAAACTCCGACGAAACAGTTTGTCACAGCCCCTCGTTTGTTGTCCTCTTCTCCCTCTCTGCCTACGGTTTACCGTAGGCAGTTCTATTTGACGATATATATCGTCACAATATATATTGTCACAATATATATTGTCACAAAAATATATATATATCGTCAAACAGAGCTGCTGTCCGGTAAACCGTCGGCAGAGAGGGAGGGAGGGAGGGAGAAGAGCACAACAACAAACAAACAAACGAGGGGAGGCTGTGACAAAAAACTGTTTCGTCGTCAGAGTTTCGCCGACTCATCGGGAGGCTGAATATATATATATATATATATTGTCACGAAGTTATCAGAGCGCATAGAGAGAGGGAGAGAGAGGAGGGGAAAGAGACGTTCAGAGAAATCAAGAGGGATGCGGACAGGTGCACATAGAAAAGTTGTGTTTCTATTGTCGATTGAATAATAAAAGATTAAAACACAATAATAATAATAACAATAATAAAAGATTGGACATCCTTTAAACTTGGAACGATACAAAGACGATTATTAGCGTGGTCCCTGTGCACAGGGGAACCAAAAAAAAAAAAAAACGATTTTTTTTCCTAAAAGATCTGAAACCGATCGAAATTGGATAAGTTTGGACAAGTTCCCAAAACGAATCTTATCTAGAGATTAGATAGTTTCCTAAAACAATAGATCGAGATCGGACACGTTACCTAAAAAGAACGGTCGAGATTGGATATTTTCCCAAAAATTCCCAAAAATTCCCCAAAACGAATCTTCTTATCTATAGATTGAACGAGTTTCCTAAAACGATCCATCGAGATTAGATTGTAAGTTTCCTAAACCGAACGATCCAGAGATCAGATATAGTTTCCTAAAACGAATGATCGAGATTGATGAGCGAGTTTCCTAAAACAAACGATTGCGATTGGATCTACAGTAACTTCCCTACAACGATCGCAAGTCACATAGAGACGGGCCTCTCCCTCCACACCACAAATTTCTAAATGTATCTTCGAGCTAACAATGGTCCCGTTACATTCAACATGTCGGACCAGTCCGGATGTATCTGGTGCCCCACAACAGTGCAGATACATTTAGAATATACATCGCCATTTTTTGTCTTCTCTTCATGTGGTGAATTGCGGACCGAGCCGAAAACAATTAGAAAATATTTATTTATTTATTTATTTAGTTATTTATTTAGTTATTTATTTAGTTATTTATATCCTAGGCTACCAGAGTGGCCCGGGGTCACTTGCCCGACCGGGCCGAAGACAATTCGAAAATAAAAATAAAAATAAAAAACTTAAATTTTATTATTTTTTTTCTAAATTTGGTGCAGAATTTCGATGTGACCCTGAGGCAAAAGTTGTTCAGTTTATTTTTCTGCATAACATAGTTTTTTTCCGGATTTTTTCGATTTTTTTTTATTTTTTTATTTTTTTGGGCTGGGACCTTCCCTGGTCCTTGCACGGGCTGGCCACCCGGGACCCGGGCGGCCCCCCCCGGCTGGTAGCCTAGTTTATATCTAATTACTTGTATTTACATCTTCTCTCCTCCTATGGAAGAACATGGAGAAGGACCAGGGAAAATGTAATTGGTCCCGGGCCACTCATGATCTGTTTTTGAGCAGTCGGCCAACCACATGAGCTCGTGGTAGCCCAGTATTCGTCTAATCCAGTCGTGGTAATCTTGTCCAGTCGCGATAATCCAGTCGTGGTTGGAACTCGTGGTTGACTGCTTCAAAAAGTGACAAAAAAAAAAAAAACAGATCATGAGATCGAACCACGACTGGATTAGACGAATACTGGGCTACCAGCCGGGCCGCCGCCCGGGTCACCCTATTTTCCCGGGCGGCCCGGCGGTGCAAGGACCAGGGAAGGACCTAGCAAAAGAAAAGAATAAAAATAAAGGAAATCGAAAAAAATCCGAAAAATAACTATGCAGAAAAATAAACTGAACAACTTTTGCTTTTGCCTCGGGGTCACATCGAATTCTTTACCAACTTTAAAATTAAAAAATAAAATTAAAAATAGTAAAATACTTACTAATTCTTTTTTTTTTTTAACACTTCTTTTTGGCCCGGCCGGGCAAGTGGTCCCGGGCCACTCTGGTAACCTAGCGAATACAATAATAATGGACGAGAGAGACAGAGCGAGAGAGAGACAGAGCGAGAGAGAGAGAGAGACAGAGCGAGAGAGAGAGAGACAGAGCGAGAGAGAGAGAGAGCGAGAGAGAGAGAGAGAGAGAGACAGAGCGAGAGAGAGAGAGAGCGAGAGAGAGAGAGAGAGATGGACACAGAGGATCCGCTCGTCGTTCCGTCTTCAGATCGGTTGTTGAATCCTACACGCAGAGCAAATCTCTTTAGTTAACGGAGGTTAACGGAGGACCTCCTCCAGGTCAGGAAAAGAGGATAGCGGGAAGAGGGTAGAGGGAAGAGGAGGAGGAGGAGGAGGAGGAGAAAGAGGAGGACAAGGAGCAACTGGTCACAACTCGGGATGGTTGTCTATAGTGGTATAGCTGGTACAGGGGATAGCATTCTCCTTAGCAGAAAACTCATGAACATCACGCAACTTTCGTGCCAGATGCAGACATGGAGTCCATTCGATTCGTCTAGCAGCAGATGGTACTCCAAGCCGGCTAGTTAACGGAGGTTAATGGACGGCGTTAACAGACGGCGTTAACGGAGGAGTTCCTTCAAGGATCGGAGAGAGACGAGAGAGAACAAGCGGAGAGAAAATCGAGGGAGTACACAGACAGACGGAAGAGGGGAGAGAGAGAGAGAGAGAGAGAGAGAGAGAGAGAGAGAGAGAGAGAGAGAGAGAGAGAGGAGGAGGGGGGGGGGGGGGCAAAAGAAGATCTAGAAAGATATAGAGACAGGTGATCGAGGCACCATGGAAACTAACGGAAGACGGGATTGCAAACGGCCACGTTAACGGAGATTAACGGATCAGTTTCTCCAGGGAGCACAGGGTGGGGGGGGGGGAGAGAGGGGAGAGAGAGAGAGACGATAGAGAGAAGATCGAGAGAGGCGAGAGACGGAGGGGGAGAGGGAAGATCGAGAGAAAATAGAGATCGAGACAGGATCAAACCCGACCGGGGAAGATGGGATTCGAACCGGCGACGTGTTCACTACCAGTCGTGGAAAACGTGCACAGCGCACCGTCATCCTGACCGTATCGGACCGGAAAGATAGCTTGTATACATTCAAAATCGAGAGGGGGAAGATCCTAATCGGACCGGAAAGAGAGCTTGTATACATTCAAAATCGAGAGGGGGAAGATCGTAAGAGAAGAGATCGAGGCACAATCAAAACCGACGGGGGAAAATCGGATTGGAACAGGCGACGTGTTCGCGAAGAGTGGTAGCAAGCTCACACAAAGGCACCCTCATGAATGTACCGAACCGAGAAAATAACCTGTATTCATTCACAATCAGGCTGACAGATACTTTATTTTTTTGGGGCGGGGGGGAAGACGGGCAGATCCAAAAGCAATCTCCCCAACCTATGTAAGTTTTTTTTTTTTTTTATTTAGGTTCAGCACTAAAGTCGCTAATTCCCAAAAAAAAAAAAAAAAGAGAGAGAGAAAAAAACAAGTGTCTTCATGCAGAGCCGATTCAACATTCCACGTGCCATCAATCTACGTGCCCGATCGATGGAGGGAAAAATAACGAACGTGTTTACTTGCAGAGACTTCTGCTCAACCAATCCCCATCCTCCACGTGTCATATCAATTGCGACCAGGTTCATCATCCTCCACGTGACATATCAATCGCGACCAGGTTCATCATCCTCCACGTGACATATCAATCACGACCAGGTTCATCATCCTCCACGTGACATATCAATCGCGACCAGGTTCATCATCCTCCACGTGTCATATCAATCGCAACCAGGTTCAGCAAGCTGACTAAAAGGCTAAAGCAAGTCCTTCGGGCCATCCACTGAATCTGGAACGATACCGAGTTTTTTT